CGGTGGTGGCGGCGGCGGCGGTGGCGGCGGCGGCGACGGTGGCGGCGGCGGCGACGGTGGCGGCGGCGACGGCGGCGGCGGCGATGGTGGCGGTGGTGGTGGTGGTGGTGGTGGTGGTGGTGATGGTGGCGCACGCCTCGCGCATAAGCCGCGCGCTCATACCTACGAGCGACCCAATCTTCAAACGTTGTCCTTGCTTCCTCCCTCTCCCCCCTCCCTCCTCTCTATCTCTCATCCTCTCGAGATCTTTCTCTCTTCAATTCTCTCTCGCGGTTTCGTTGGTCCGCACGCCCACGTCATTACACCTACAACGGCAGTATCTCTCTCTCTACCCAGCTTTATCCCTTGGTCCTTAATCACCCGCACGAAGAAGCGCACGAGAGAAGCGCTGAATGCCCTGAAGAAATCGTCATTTCTTCCTGTTTCGATAAGGAGCATATACGTGCTCCGAGCCACTCGGTTCCTTCTGCTGGGTTGTAGACCGAAACGGAGCAACTCCAGTTAACTGTTACCGAGGGAATGTTGGCGCGAAAGTGTGTTTCGTGCACCACCCGCTCTCTGTGACACGTGATACGCCACTAAAGGTTTCGTGTCTCACCGCTGTGATCCGATTCTTGAGACGGAAGTCTCCAATGTTGACGATGTGATCTGCGATGTTTCTTCCCGAATTGATTGATTTCTTTTCGCTGAGGTATTCCAACGAGATATTTGATTTCTAAGGACCATTACGAATACTCGTCTAATATTTTCATACTTTCAGAAATTATAAATAAATATACCTTTTTATCCCACACAATAAAATTTTATCAAAAGAGACGGTCCGAGTTGTAACGATGTATACTTATTAATATTTTTTAATTACTTATTAATCAAGTAACTCAAATTAAATTGCTGAATTTCATATTCTAACCTGCTTAACTTTAATACGCACAATTTTTCTAACACAAACTAATTTAGAAATTATGTTTCAAATCTGTTACGTCTAACTACGAGATAAAAATTGAAAAAGCTTGTACAAGTACATATTCTGCAAACATAGAATTTTGTAATGCCTCTCTATTGTGACTTGAAATATCTTGTTATTGTGCCTAACTGACATTTAATATCTACTTTTTAATTGTTGCATTTCCATGTCGCAAATAAACGTAAAAACCATTCTCGTGTTTCTGTAACATTTGGAATGTGAATCCATCAACATCATACTAGTATCGATCGTTTTGCATTTTCATTGCATTTCACACTGATCACATTTCAAATTCTTCGCGTGATCTCGTCAAGAAAATATAATCCATTTGCGAACGTAAAGTAGCGTTCTATGTAGCTCTGTCATTAAATTATTATCCTTTTACATCAAATTAGCTGTATATTTTTTAATACGGTAATAATGTTAAGAGAAAGAATAAAAATAGATTTGTAGAAAAGAGATGGTATTTCATAGAGTAAATTGAGATAATAAAACATTTCGCGAATACTTTTACAGTTATTATTCTTGTTGCAATGAAATACCTTGAGAAAATTATTTGTGAATACCTGAGCCATCGAGAAATATTTTTATCTCAAGCATTAGTAGCATTTTCAATTTTGGCACACTCAACAAACTCCATTTGGAACTTATATTTGTTATAACATAATAAACAAATTCTTAAGAATATGTTTGAAGAGTGGGATCGATTTAGATCTGATATATAATACAAATTTGAACCAATTACGATGATATCTTAAAAGTATTTTCTTTCACTCTACTTAACTATTTTACAAGATATTACTATACATGTATTTGTAGAGGATTTGTCGTTTCCGGTTGCAGTAATTCACCGTAAACCTTAAATAACTTAATTATTACCCGGAGATTACAACCGCGAGAGTAGCAAGGAGAAGCAATTATCTGGAAAGAGATTACCCGGAATTTCGTTTTAGCCTTTTACCGATATTATGGTCTTTATGCGACAATCACAACATCGTTCCTTTTTAATCGCGATCTAAAATATTCCGATTTTCGATAGAGCAAGATTCAATCGACTGAAAGTTTTATCGTTCGATTGAAAGAATCGTACTCACAAATAGGCATTTAAACTTTGGAGCGTTTTAACAGAAACAAGTACATATATAGCTATCTTGTAGCAGTTTATCTTGTAAAAGTATGTCTATCGTAAGAAACTTAGATAAAATCCATTTTACGTTTAAGATGTTAAGAAACACTTATTTATACTGTATAGTATAGAGATGAATGTAGAATCTTCCATAATGATCATACATTGTTTTAATATAGTGGATGTTATGCGGGACGCGAGCATTGTACTTTACCTCGTTTTCTTTTGCCAGCCACTCGATTGTGATCAAGTTGTAATATTTATTGGTAGGCCAACAATTACTGCATTTGTCTCGAATAATAATACATAATTGATAGCCTTAATGGTAGATGATTTCAACCGCGTCTTCAGCCTTGCTCAACAACATAATAATTTTTGAATGGTAAATGGTCACTCTGTTTTTTGCGTGTATCACAGGTGCATCATCAGGCGACATATAATGACATTCTATTCGAAATCTATGAAACCTCTAGCGTTCACATTAATAAACATATATTGGATCGTCATTAACACAAACACAAATTGTAATTCTAATATTTAAAATGTAAATTGAGCTCAGGGAGTTATATGCATTTATAAGTAGAGAATTCTGATATCCAATACAAATCCAAAGGTTGAAATGAAATGCTTCATCAACTCTCAAATTTAAATTTAAATTTAAATACTGATCAAGATCTAAATACAAGTCCAATTCTAAAATGAAGCAAATCTATTAAAAATTTGCGCCCCGTAACTCCATCAACATGGAGAATTGAGTTGTGGTTCGATAGAGTTTTATAAATCAAGTATTGTGTATATCTCTGGAAAAGAAGATATTCTTTATCGTTCCATTGATAACATCCGTCTAAAAGAATTGGATTATCTTCTCTACTTGAGGTTTTTTGGGTCACTTGGCTTGGATAATCCTGTTTCCGGAAGGAGAAGCAAGATACGAAATCTTTTCCTTTATCGAACTGCTTGGCTTGAAGGAGAACATTATCGCTTTTTTCGCCAAAGATATTTGGGAGTTTCTAAAGCCATTTTAACTTCTTCAAGTGTACCGCATCGTTTTTTAAATCGTATTAAAATGTCGCCTGAGGCAGATAGGTAATTCAATATTCCAACTTTCAATTGAATACACCTCTTCTCTGTGTAATGTGACCATAGTGAAAGGATAATAGTGCAGGTGTAGGGATAACAGTTGATCGTTAGCGACGAAATTATTTATATATTGTAAATTTTTATTTCCTTATGCGATAATTTTCAACACAACTTATTGTTAGATGAATGAGATAGTGCACCTTTCTTAATTTTGAAAATTTTCTTAACTATTTAAATACACAGTTCATACATATATTAATATGTAATAAAACTGAGAGCTCCGGAAAGCTCATTCGAAGAATACATTAGGAATCTCTTTCATACCATTTTGATCTCTATTTATTAATTTATTATTTGCTAAATATAGAACAATTATGGTGCATCGTCAATAAATAGACAATTCAATTGTACAACTTGAATTTTTACTATATTAAACTTACTAAATATGTTACTTTGCACTTGTTAACTAAATAATAATATTGTAACACTGTTTAGAGAATAAATGCATGATACAGAGCAGACAGGCTAATTGACAGCTGCAAGTAATACTGCAAGTAAAGTTCTAAGAGTTTTCTTTAATGCAATATACGACTCAAAGTAGAATACGTTATATTACAATGAAATATTTGATGCGCGAGTGTTACATATGAGACACTGCTCACGAGATTCGCGTTATACCTGCATTCGCACGCAGCATGAACACGGAAAGATGTTCGAGATGCGTGATGTTATTAACGGGAAGACCCGACGGAACGCGCGCGGAATATTTAACGACATCCCATCTGCAATTGCACGGTCCTCTCAAAGGTATCCCATAGAGAGATAGAGAAAGAGAAAGAATGGAAAAAGTCTCATTAAGTAATAAAGACTCCAAGTTTTTGGTTTCGTTGCGCATAGCTGCAATTCGTTTTCCGACTAACAATAAGACTAGTCCTGTTTAATAAGCCGTATTTTTTCATAAGTCATCATCATTATATCATTCTAGTTTAGAATATTTTATCCTACAAAATTCATAACGATATATTTGCGTAGCTATTTGCCTACTAAGTGTTTCTCATTGATATCATTATGTTATTTTGCATCATTTAATAAATGCCTTGTATCCTTTCCAACTTGTTGACGATACTTAATTCTATTGCATCGTACGTA